GCTTCAGCTGCCATAAATTTTGCCTGTTTTGGAAAGAGGCATCTTTTTTTTTCCCAGCTGTATTTACATATGGAAGCCATAATATGAAAATAAATATGTATCATGGTCTTTGCATCAGAAATTATTTTTCTACCTTCTGCACTTATTCATTGCATTTTTAGTTAGTGTAACAACACACAGTGGGAGAAAAATGCATAGTCTTCATAGCAGCTTCTTCTGAAGGGATGTCCCGTCGTTTTAGTAAACCAGATTCTTTTCCAGAAATACATAAAGATATTTTGTAAAAATATGCAAAAAAAGAGAGTTTATGGCTTTTGGAAGAAGGGACAGGCAACTCAGGAGGACTACAAGGATTTCATGAGGTTATGAAGGAACAAAATTAGAAGGGCTAAAGCCCAACTAAAACTTATTTTGGATACTACCATAACAGACAAGAAAAAATGCTTCTGTAAATACATCAGCAACAAAAGGGGGGCTAAGGAGAATCACCATCGTTCGCTGAATGCAGAAGGAAACATAGTGACAAACAATGATGAAAAGACTGAGGTACTTAATGCCTTTGATGCCTCAGGCTTTAGTAGTAAGACCAGTTGTTCTCTGTGTACCAGCCCCCTGAACTGCATGCCTGGAACAGGAAGCAGAATGAACCCCCAGTCCAAGGCAAAACAGTCAGCAACCTGCCACATCACTTCATCACTTAGACACACACACAAGCGGCTGTGGCTAGATGGGATCTATCCAAGGGTACTGAGGGAGCTGGTGGAAGGGCTCACTGAGCCACTTTCAAACATTTACCAGCAGTCGTGGCTAACTGGGGAGGTTCTAGCTGACTGGAGATTAACAGATGCGATGCCCGTCTACAACAAGGGCCAGAAGGCGCATCCAGGGAACTACAGGCCTGTCAGAATGACCTTGGTGCTATGGAAGGTTATGAAGCAAATCATCTTGAGTGCCATCACGTACAGGACAACCAGGGGTCAGGCCCAGTCAGCATGGGTTTATGAAAGGCCGGTCCTGCTTGACAAACCTCACCTCCTTCTGTGACAAGATGACCCACTTAGTTGATGAGGGAAAGGCTGTGGAAGTTGTCTACCTAGACTTTAGTAAAGTCTTTGACACCATTTCTCACAACATTCTTCTGTATAAGCTGGCTTGGATGGGTGTACTCTCTGCTGGCCGAGCCCTAAGAGTGAATGGAGTTAAATTCAGTTGGCAACTGGTCACAAATGGTGTTCCCTAGGACTCAGTATTGGTGAAAGTTCTGTTCAATATCTTTATCAAAGATCTGGATGAGGGGAGTGAGTGCACCATCAGTAAGTCTGCAGGTGACATTGAGTCGGCTGGAAGTGTTTACCTGCTTGAGGGTAGGAAAGATCTACAGAGGGATCTGGACAAGCTGGATCAATGGGCTGAGGCCAGTTGTATAAGGTTCAACAAGAAGAAGTGCTAGGTCCTGCATTTGGGTGACAACAACCTCATGCAGTGCTACAAGCTTGAGAGGGAGTGGCTGTAAAGCTGGGTGGCAGAAAAGGATCTGGAGGTGTCGGTGGACAGTGGGTTTATAATAAGCCAGCTTGTGCCCGGGGAGCCCAGAAAGCCAGCAGCATCCTGGCTTCTATCAGGAATAGTGTGGCCAGCAGGGCCCCGGCAGTGATCATCCCCTTGTACTTTGCACTGGTGAGGCTGCACCTCAAATCCTTTGTTCAGTTCTGGACCTCTCTGTAAGAAAGACATTGAGGTGCTGGTGCGTGTCCAAGGAAAAGGGCAACAAAGCTGATGAAGGGTCCAGAGCGCCAGTCTGATGAGGAACAGCTGAGGGAACTGGGGTTGTTTAGTCTGGAGAAGGCTCAGGAGGGACCTTATCACTTTCTTCAGCTACCTGAAAGGAGGTTGTAGTGAGGTGGGGGCCAGTTTCTTCTCCCAAGTAACAAGTGATAGGACAAGAGGTAACGGCCTCAAGCTGTGCCAAGAGAGGTTTAGATTGGATATTAGGAAAAATTTCTTCATCGAGAGGGTGATCAGGCATTGGCACAGGCTGCCCAGGGAAGTGGTAAAATCACATCCCTGGAAGTATTAAAAAAACATGCAGATGGGGGCCCTCAGTGACATGCTTTAGTGGTGGACTTGACAGTGCTAGGTCTACAGTTGGACTTGATCTTAAAAGTCTTTTTCAACCTGGTTGATTCTATGATTTTCAAGATATAAAAAGAATTGATTTGGGAATCTAGCTCCCTATATCCCCTAGCTTTTCAGAAATAGGACTCTACCACGTTTTAAAATGTTACATATGTAAAAACTGTTTGAAATACTGACCAGGCTAGGATGTGTGTGGGTCGGGTGGGGATGGGACCATTCTAAACTAGAATGAAGCTCAAGGGATTAAATCTTCACTAGTCAATGTTACTAAAGTAGAAATCTGTACTGCTACCTTTGCCTAACAGCAAAGCAGCTCTGTTCTGAGCTGTCCAAGAGCAAATGTTTTTTTCCATCCTGTTTCTCAACAGAGAAAAGACTACTCGGAACACCCAACACGTATTTGGCACCTTGTCAAAATGTGAAAAGATGGAGATCTAACTGCAACTCTTAGTTTTGAATTGAAAATGATGAAAAATTTCAGAGCTTACAGAAATGTACCAAGACATCTTTAGCACCTCTATGAAATAAAGAATGAAATGGCGAGATGGCTTTTTGAGCATTGCAGTCTTCTCTCTTGACACTGCGGTGCTAATGCAATATATACTTATGCAAGTGAAGACAAAACTGGAGTAACATGTTTCAGTTACCCCTGAACTACTGCACCTTTATATTGCTCAAAATCTCCTGACCTAAAGAAACCAAACTATAAATCCTGAGTACTGTACTGTGCAGTACAATATTGATACAGGGGATCAATTACAAAAAGTACCACAGTAACCTTACTGATCTCTCTCTGTGCTACACACTTGCAAAGCTACTTGTTGGTTGTACAGCTTATCCCACGTAACGCTACAAATGAAAAAATAAAGTGTAATTATCATACAGCTTAGTGGAGCCATTTTCAATTTTATTTTTACATTGTCTTGCAACAGATTTTAGTATTCTTTTTCTTGTGTCTTCTTTTATAAACACGACATTTCCTAATACATTTCAAAAAGCTGAAAAATGATCAAACATTTTTTTCTCTGAACAGTAATTTTTCACTTATTGATGCACAAACATCTATTGCCTGATTAGCTTTTTGTTTGTAACAAATTCTACCACCCTCATGTATTAGGCAGCTGAAAATTAAATATTTTTTTTACTTCTTAGCCTTTCTATACATCTACTTAATGTTTGTTAGCATGAATAAAAAGTGCAGTGCAAGCTCCTTAAGAAGAGAACAACTGACATTTTGCAATCTGAGACTGCTTATTACAAGGCTAAAGAAATGAAGCAATTTATTCACTGGGTATTAAGATCATACGTAAGGGTAGTTTATTTATAATGTGAATTGAATGGGCACTGTATGTATCGCCCATCTGCTCTGCGCTCTGCTACCAGTGGTGCAGTACTGTGTAACTCTGATCAGATTTTGCATGGTCACCCTCCCAGAGCTATTATGGTTCTAATGGAGTTTAATGTGGAAATGGTATGTAATTTTTTTACGGGTTTCACAACTGCCAAGACATTTGGCCAAATGACCGTCATGCATGGCAACAGCTGTTACTCCACAGCCTTACAAAACTGGGAGTGCATTGGGTGTGTGTGGGGTGTAACAAGCCTTCAATGCACACAGCATATTTAGGACACATTGAATGAAATGCATCTCCTTCGAAAAGCAGAAACAGTAAGATAAGCTTTGGGAAAAGGAAGTTCAAAAATATAAACTCTATTTTTCTCTCCAGAAATGTGCATATCTTTTTTCTTTGCTGATGCAGGTATCTTCCCCCTGCCCCATACTTTTCTGTTTTGTGAACAGCTGGGTTCCCACAGAAACATGAGGCAAATCAGAGAGGGCTGGACAAGCATTGATTTCCCACCTTTAACACACAAGTCTGGAGGAAACAAACTAGCACTTGGTCCTTGCACCACCTGTGGAGCTCCCCAGTATTCTCCCCACCTCCAAAGCCACATCTGCAGTCAGGGCACTAGGCTGCTCTTCCCGTGATGTCAGAGCCTCTTGCTCCCCAGGCAGCATTGGCTCTTGGAACATTTCTAAAGTAGTGGTGTCAGTACATTAAGTGCCTGATCCTATTTCCACTGAGGTCCGTGCTGGCCTTTTGCATTCATTTAAATTAACCTTGGATCAGGCCTTAATGTAGCAACATTCCTATGTGGGATCTCTAGGAGAGACCTGAAAATAAATAAAAAAAAAAAAAAAAAACAACAAAAAAAACTATTTCTACTGTGATTTTTTTTTTTTTTATTAAGTCTATGAGCAGGCTCTTCACTGAAGGCCCTTAATCTCCTGGGTACAAAATAGGTACAAAATAGCAGTACATACCTATAAACATAGATGACTTGGTAAATTTAAATATCTGACTTCTCAAGTCTGTTTTATTAGCAATCTACTTGAAAAATACAGTACAATATTTCCAAATTGTATTAAAACAGGTTTCCCAAAGTTTATTACAAAACGGAAAGCGCTATCGCTTCAAAACTTGCCTCAAAACCATTGTTCTTCTCTCTGATTTTCTTCCCAAATATAGCAGTGCCTACAAGCGTATGCCAGAACTTGTGAGAGTATGAGGGAAAACCAAAGATCCTTCTAAAAGCTACCCCCACCATTTTTAGCACCACCTACATCTTGATTAAGTTCCTTTGCTGCACTGTTAATTTGGGCACTATCCTGGATAACTGTTTGCCATGTTAAAAAATATTAAGAGTTACAAAAAGTACTGTTCTGCATTGCTGTTGGCTGCGGAATTATGTTGTGCCTATATTGAAAATTTGTCTGGAGTACTAAGAAGACACTCCTTGCTTTGGGTCTGAAAAAGCTCCCTTTGTTGGGACAGAATATTTCAGTATAAATGTTCGTTGGGGGAAAAATGACAACTATGGCATTTCAGCAAGGAGTGAACAAAGTCATCAGCGTTCCTCAAGAAATTCGTAACATCTCTTCTGTGGTCACAGGTAAAGCAGAGACATAAACTCTCAGCAGAAGATCGAGATGCAAGACTGTCACTCTCATAAATAAAAATCATCCCCACGGTGAAACAGTTACTGCTATGATACATCAGCCTAATAAGGTTCCCTGAGAAACAGTTTGACTAAAAAGCTGGCACCGCTTCACTGAAATCACTGACAGTTAACTAAGGCAAGTTCCCAGGAGCCAGAACAGATTCTCAGTGGAATTTCCATATAAAACCTCTTCCCAGGGCCACAGGTAGAAGAGACAAATGAACTCAAGCTAGCTGGTGCATGAAATGCAGTTTTGTTTCTAAAGGATAAAGCCAAGACCTTACTAGCGCGACTTCTCCATAGTGGAGGACCTTTCAGATATAAGGGTGAAGTGGTCTCCTAAAACAGGAGCCTTCAACACAAAGACCCTGTATAAGAATTATAAGCTTTCAACAATGAATTTTCCAAAATCTCTGAATTTGGAACAAAACTGTCACAGAACATCTTGCAGCTAAATCATTATGGCATTCTTCTAAGAGGCAAACTCCACAGTCAGGAGGGTGAGATCCAGCTGGATATTCTAGCTGCACACTGCAGATGAGAAGTGGATGCCATGCTGCTGCCCAAACACATCACCCTGCTGGTGTTTCCTGGAAACACTAACCTGGCATAGTCACTCAATATCATATTTCATGACTAAGAGACTCAGATGAATGAAAATGTGTCTTTTAGACTGCAGCTGGGTGCTAAATACCTCCACTGAGGTTAACAGTTGCTACTGCTATGACCCTTTACTACTTTGGCTTAGGAGAGGTGCTTTATTGTTTGACATGGTGACTTTTCCTAAACTCATTTTTAGATGCTCCTGGCCTTGTAATATTCATCCTGACATAAGGCAGCATTGTAGAATTAAGCTTGCAATCTCCCTCATATGCCTAGTCTAAGTACTCGCAACCTTATTAAAAAAAAATTGGTTATTAAAGCCAAAGTTGCATTTTTATCTGGCAACTTGTAAAAGAGATTGTTGCATGTGAAACTCAAAAACTTACCTGAGAAATAGAAGTCCACAGACGTTTTTTTTGAAACACCAAATAGACATATGAAACAAAAAGCTATTTTTAGAATACATTACAGAATACTGGCATGTTATAAAAATGTAATTAACCCATTGAAATTTAAACTAAGTTACATTCAAGGCACCTTATTTATAAATAGTTTTTTTTTAATGTTCATTCTACATTCACAGTAGTTTAACCATGTAAACAAGTCTGTGAAAGCTCAGATTAAGGTCACTTTCAGATCTGTGTGCCAAATAGTTCAGAAAAATATCATATTACATTGCAAAACTCAATAAAATAAGACAGGTCCATCTGCTGCCCAAACAATTCAATAGATGTTAAGGGGTACATTTTTAACAAGATTAAGCCTAAAAGAGGTTTTAAAAAATGAAAGATAAGTAACATACAATGCATTAACATTTGACTATCACTTGAAAGTCTACATAAATGCTGAAAAAATGCAAGCCACTATTCCTAGTGCTATTCTAATTTTAAAGGGCAAATCTTTGGAAACAGTGTTACTGGAAGTTTAAAAATATCCTCCATCTTTTTTTCCCCCACATTTGATCTTACAATACTCTAGTACATACTTTCTCCACAAGGAAAATGTATAAAATTAATCTTACAATATAAACACTATAAACAACTCCCTTGAGACATCTTCCGGACTCAGAATTCCTGTAAAGATTTAAGTATAACAATTCTAGGATAATTATGTGAAAATATGTACATTCATTCCAATGTCCTAGACCCAAGAAGAAACCCAAGTAAGCTCTACAAAAGTTGCCCACCAGTCTTGTCCAGTTAAGATTATACACAGCTTTGCTACTCTTGCTGTACTTCAACATAATCAACAAAAGTTTTACTTGTTTTTGTGTAGGAAATTCCCAAACTTTTGCATAAATCCTCTCAGCTTATTTTCATTAGGCTGCAATGGATGGTAAGCGGTTGAGTTGTAGCTGACCATGTGATTGCTCCTGCCGTAATTATTCCCTAAGGTCTTGCTTTTGATATCTGAGAGATGTAAACTACTGTTGGGTACATTTCCTGCAGGTTGGCTAGAATTTTCCAACTTACAGAATGGCTCAAAGCGACTATAAACACGCCTTTCACTCAAACGAGATCTTAGCTCCTCTTGGCATTTTGAGCTTGCCAGCTGCGGTGTCACTGAACTTGCTCTTTGAAGAGCAGAGACAGGAGCACTTTCAGGAGTAGTATTTGTGGTGGTTTCTTTTACATCTTGATACTGAATCTGTTCTGTATTAAATCTTGGGGTAGATGGATCTCCTGCAGTTTCTATGAACTTACTTTCAAGGGGGCACAAGAGAGGACACTTTTTATTGCTTTCATCAGATGGAGTTTTTTGAGGTTTTGGTGACTTTGGAGACTTTGGAGACTTTGTTGGGCTCCCGGTAACATCTTCTTTACTTCTGTTCAAGCTACCTTGAGAATTTGATGATGTGTTTCTCTTTCTCCTTGGGGAAGAATCTGTCTTATTCTCAGACATCTTTGGTTTTTGATTCTCTTCTTCAGAAACCAATGTATCAGAACTACTACACATTCTATAAAATGCAGGACCTTTGTTTTTTGACAAGTTTTCCTTCTTGTCTGGTGTGAGATTAAGAAGTGACCGCAGTTTCTGGGATCCTTTCTTTAGAAAACTTGGGGAACTCTTACTTTCTTTCTTTGATGTGCAGTCCTTACTAGACTCCTCCTTGCTAGGATCAGTGAGAGCAGCCATAGAGACTGCCTTGCTAGCAGTTGGGCTCTTTAGCTCTTCTTTGAGGTTTTTTTCCTCCTGTGGCAAGTGGTTTGTCATACTGTGCAAACTTTTAGCGCTCTTCAGCATGTCTTCTGGAAGTTTTGGACTAACTGGCTGCTTAAGTCTATGCCTAGTTAATGTGCTGTAAACATAATTGGATGCATGTTTGTTGGCACCAGGGTCTAAAATGGACTTTGAATTAAACATGGGAAAACTTCTCCGTTTCAGCATATTTTCATTTTGAAGGTTCTTCAAGTTTTCAGCATGTTTGTCTGCACACAGTGTAGTGTACAAGTAGACAGATGAGTCACCTGCTGCATTTGAATTTACACTAGGTTTTGTGTAGTCTGCAATATGAATTCTGGGGGGTATTGATGTATCTGATTTAGGTGGAATGTTTGTGCTAGGCTCTTCTGAAATATTATCTGTCCCATTTTCCACACTTGGAGCATGATTAGATGTCCCTTTAGGTGTTGCACTTCCCTCTGACCCAATTATAGTTGAATTTGAAGAACTTGCACAGCTGCTTACTTCCTGCTGTTCAGGTAAAGTTGGCTGAAATACCAATGATGATCGTAAACGAGAATGAGAATACAGTGCATGAGCTTTAATATTTTCAGGTGTGTCATAGCTATCATATCTGTCACCCAAGGCTGACCCATTAGACTCTACTGGATAATCTGACTGATCATTCAAATATGACTTAATTCGCCAGTTACGTAGGAATGATTTTGTTGTGTGTTCGAGGGTTGGCATCCTTTGCTGCAGATGGCGTATATGGTTATCTGTCCCATTAAAAGACCTCCGTACAATTGAGTTTCTTTCTGCAAGATTTACCTTTGGTCGTGAAAACTGATCAGCAAAACTTTGCTGGGGTGTATTGTAGTTATTTGCATACCCTCCTCGTAATGAAGAAACAATACTAAGGCTATCAGATGCCATTTTCCAAGTATTTGATGGATTGTTGGCTCTATTAATAGCTCTGTTGAGCAATAGGTAAGGTGTTCTTTCTGGTTTCTCCCCAGCATAACTGTGTCTCTTCCAGTGCTCATTTTTTTCACTAGGTTGATACTGCTGGATTGGATTTTGCATATTGAAACCTGGATGGAATGGCTGTTTATTATAGGACTGATTTCTCAAACCATATTTATCTATTTCATTTACTGCATATCTTCCACGAGTTTTCCAACAAACAGGATCTATCTTGTGAACTTTGTCTTGCCTACCAAAAAGGTTTCTTTGGCTAGAAACTGAAGCCAAGGAAGACACTGAGTGTTGGTATGTATCACTATCCCAAAGTGTCCTGCGACTGTTTACCCGCACTAATTCTGGGGCAAATGAACTAGGAACAGAAGAACGAGCGTATAGTGTTCTGAACTCTTCATCAAAGGATTCAACCAGCTGTCCTGTGATAACCTGAACCATACTGAGGTTGGTTTTTTCAAATGACCACATAAAGCTGAAAGAAGAACAAATGACCATTAGAAACAGTTCTCTTGAACTAAAGTGTTACACTGGTCCTTCTTGAGAAGAAAGCTTTCACTTCAGTGGAGGTATTTAGGCACCTAACTTTCAAAGACCTGTTTTTTTTTTTCAAATACTTCTAAATAAATAAATAAATTGTGGTCATGATTCATGTCATTTGGATTTTGAAGGTCTAATTGAACACCAAATTCAGCTGGAGACTTTCCACTGCTTTCTGTGAGAGCAAAAATGAGTCTCTAACTACTTAATTGCCCTTAAAAAAGTGGATATTGCAAAAACGTATTCACAAACGTAGAACAGTGGAGTACAAATACCTAATGGAGCAAAATTATGTCTACAAAAACTAAGCCATGATTTACTAGACCCACTGTATTTACTCCTGAGTCAGAAAATGCTACTGTGTGATTGTTGTGAAAAAAAAAATTGAAATTGAAATAATATCCAGAACTGCTTCAAGAGCTCTGAATGTACTTACATTTTCAGTAAGATGCACCTCAGAATTGTCAAGAAGTTTACATTTTTTACTATGCACACCAGATTGGCTATGAACATTTCTTTTAATTGCAATAATGATATTCTGATGAAGGAAATTTTCGTATTTTCTATTGTACTTAGAAAGGCTGAACACATGCTCAAAGCTAAGTAGCTATAGCTACTTTACAGCTACAAAATGAGATAAAATAGACTAACATGTATATAAGGGGTGTTTCAACAAGCCTAATATCATGGTGACAAAAACCATAGAATTTTTATATTACAATGAAAAAACCCACCCTATTTTGCAATACTCTATTCATGAAAAAAAAAAAGTGAAAAAAATTAAATCAATGATCTTGTTTTATTTGCATCTGTCTTCTGGATGTTAGAAAATAGGTTTGTTGTATTCATGTAAATGGCCTGCTAAATTTGTTAGTTTTGTATTTTTCAGGAAATAATGGTGTCCTGAGATTGAATCATGTTGCATAAGTTTTTTTATATTAATTTACACAATTAATAATAATATACTTTGTAATATTTGAAAAAAAAACCTAAACTTTAAGTTGAGTTGAGAGAGCAAGATTTCCGAAAGAGTCATCGTTCTTGTTATAATCACTATATTCTTTCAGAAAGCAAGTTTAATTGCTACAGAAACTGGTGATTCCAGTCCCTGGGGTGCTAGGTCTTAGAGTGATGTTATTTTTCAAAATGAAATGAGAAAAACTATCACATTCTCTACCACTGTGTGTGGATATCAAAACAGGCAGACTCTCCCTGGACTCTTTTATACTTGTTCATTTATGAACTTGTCACTTACCTCACTATCATTTATATACATCAGTTGGAATTTGGGGCTGGCTGAATCTCAGAGGAAATAAAAAGCCAGATTTTCAAAAGCTTACAGTGGTGGAAATCTGTGAAAGTCAGTGGCTGTGGATCTGGCATCGAGGCAGTGCACTAGCAGAAACTATTTCAGTAGGCCAGAGAAGAAAAGTGTAGTATGAAAAGAACAAAAATATTTCAGAATGTGTGAGATAAAACTGTCTGTGCTTTAACTTAGGTGTTTTTTCCAGCTCTGCAAAGCTGTAAGTTCTTCCAGCCTATGCTTTGCACACATACACTGGAAATAAATGGAAAGCAGAATAAAGAAACTTAGCAAAATATAAAGAGAAACTATGTCAACTTAACTTTGGCAATTCTGAATTTGACCATGATATACTACAGAGTGCCACAGAAGAGGTCTATGTAAGCTTTAGAATATTATTATAAGGAGGAACTATCCAAGAAAGCTTATGAAATAATTTTGGCAGCCATTTCCACAGTGAATGTTAAACAAGAATAATTCAAACAATACAAGACAACACAGGATTTTTCCCTCTTAGCAAATCTCCAGCTATGGCAAAAGCTGTATCTTTCATTTCTTGTTTGTGAAAAACTAACAGAGGATCTCAGAATTTGGCTCTGTGTTAGGCTAGTTAGTAATAAGTATCTATGACATCTTGTTAAACTGCAGAAAATATAATTAAATTTGCCCACAGAGTTCTCTGGAAGAATATTCATAAACATTAGAAAAAAAGAATTTGCAGTAGGAGAGGTACTGAGATAACAGATTTTCTGTGGACACCACAGCGACTGATCTTACCTGTAAGAACCATATATGACTTTCTTACAGTCAACAAGAATAAATTTTTGTTCCATTTTTCCATGGAATTTTGCTCCTGTTTTAGAATAGTAGTCTTGTCCTTTCACTGTCCGCACCCTCATGTTCTGAAAAAAAAATTGAAATGCTTTAGTTGGTATTTATAGAAAAAATAAAATTTATATTCAATGCAAAACAACCTACAGCATATATCTCATTTGTCTCTGGGATACAAAATGCTTCACAAGACATAAAAATTGTTTGGAATACAGCTGTGAATAATCACAGTATTTACTTCAGTTTCTAGCCTTGCAATACTTGTTCTAGCAATGTTAATATGTCGTAATTTACAAGTATTGCAGTGGGAGTGAAATCCATAGTTTAGCATTGGCAGAGAGAGAACAGAATCTGTATGATTATTACATAGATTGTATATATGGAAATAGGGCAATATAAGGCTTGTGAATACAGAGGAATGTTTTGCTTCATGGGACTGCTACAGTGACAGGTTGAAAATCACAGCAGGTATGTGCTCTGTAAAGGTCAAGGTAGATGGATTAGGGCTGTTCATGAAGCAAAATGGATTAGATTGTGTACAAGGTAAATTCAGCAAAAAAACCCAGGAGAATAAAGGGAAGGGAAGGGAAGGGAAGGGAAGGGAAGGGAAGGGAAGGGAAGGGAAGGGAAGGGAAGGGAAGGGAAGGGAAGGGAAGGGAAGGGAAGGGAAGGGAAGGGAAGGGAAGGGAGGAGAAAGGAAGTGGGAAGGGGAAGTGGGAAGGGGGAAGGGGCAGGAGGAAGGGGCAGGGGGAGAGAAGGGAAGGAGAAGGGGGAAGGGGAGGGAAGGGGGAAGAGAGAAGGGGGGAGGGGAGGGAAGGGGGAATGGAAGTGGGAAGGGGAAGGGGGAAGGGGAGAGAAGGGAAGGGGAAGGGGGAGGGGGAGGGAAGGGAAGGGGAAGGGAAGGGGAGGGAAGGTGGAAGGGAAAGGGAAAGAGGAAAAGAGGAAAGGGAAGGGGAAAGGGAAGGGGAAAGGGAAGGAGGAAGGGAAGCGAAAGGATGAGTCTATTTCATTTGGAAGGGACCTACAATGATCATCTAGTCCAACTGCCTGAACACCTCAGCGCTGACCAGAAGTTAAAGCATGTTATTAAGCGCATTGTCCAAATGCTTCTTAAAACACTGACAGGTTTGGGGCATTGACCATCTCTCTAGGTAGGCCGTTCCAGCATGTGACCATGCTCTCAGTAAATAAATGTTTCCTAATGTCCAGTCTAAACCTCCCCTGGCATACCTCTGAACCATTCCCACAGGTCCTACCACTGGATATCAAGGAGAAAAGCTCAGCACCTCCCTTCCGCTTCCCCTTCTCAGGAGGCTGTGGAGATGTTTAAGCTTACAAAAGTATTTAAGATTCCAGTCTGTAAAGTATGACTAAGTTTGCAACACAGTTAAATAAACCTTTAACGTCTATGGGGTCATTTATGCATTTACCAAAAACATATGAAGTTCTAATAGCCAGAGGTTGTGGAAATTTTAATCATAGTGTCTACTAAGATCCAATGAACTGTATCTTTCCAAACAGAGAAAATCTCCAAGAAATGAAAACATATTTCCAAGTAACTCATGCTTTCTAAATCAGTATATATTTTCACTGTTGGTTTCTTAAAACTTTTATGAAAAGAAAAATCAAATCAAAGAAGCAAGAGTTACATTTAAAAGCTGCTGACTTGGTAAATTATGGTTTAACTGAAGCTATCCAAGTTCTTTAAATTTTATTTATTAGCTGAGTTTTTACACAGCATTTTTGTCAAGCTGTGTTCAAACAAAAATGCAACTCACCTAAAAGATACAAAGACAGTATTTAAAAATTAGTTTTGTGGACTTTTGTAAATATGGTAGAAACATGAAATTTCTCTCTTAAATAAATAAAAGAAGCAGTGTCTAGAAGCGCTCTAAAATTTTTAAAGTTAAAAATGTTAAAAGTGAAAACACAAGTTGATGCTCATCTATTTTCAAAACAGCTAAAAAAGAATCAGTGACAATAAGAACCCAGTTTGCATTACTGAATGGGAGGGTGACATAATTTTGCATTTCTACCTGCTAAGCACTTTTGGCAATCTAGCACTGTCTTTCAAGTTTTCTGCACTTCAACTAGAAATCTTCTTATCAATGAAAGTCAATTTTCCCACTCTTCCAATCTGATTTTGTTGAACTTTGAATAAGTCAACCCCACTGAAGAAAAGTGTTCTTTCTCCAGCAGCTACCGAAGCTTTAACTAAAAGTATTTACATAAAAAGCTTTTAGTTGTGTGGAGAACAGTGTGGAAAATAGTAATTCCTGAAAAAGAAAAAAAAAAATACAGGAATTTACCCATTCTAAAGATTATCATAATAGTAAACTTTATGTACTATAAAATAATATGTTGTAATTTAGTAATGAAATTTGCATTTACCTAATGACCGTTTTACCCAATTTTATATCCCATATTTGTATGTCAGATTTATATTTAATTATACTAAAATATATGTCATTATAATTTGAAAAAGGTAACTTGAGAGGCAGCTTATACATTTTCAAATAACCGTAACAAGCAATGCTGGCCTAATGACATGACAGTTGAACACATCAAATCTTACTGAGATAAGGTCTGATAGGTATTGGACAGGATATCACTTGGGAATCTCGAATGCTGGAGGCACAAGCAAGGCTAATGGCCTGCAAATTACTATACTATATGAAAAAAAGCTTTGCCTTAGGTACTCATAAATTGAAATATAATTTCAAGTAGGCATATCTAAAAAATAAATTTACATTAAATTTCTGGTTTTTAGAAAAATCATAGTCACTGCTTCCTCTTGTTCTCTTTTTTCTTTTCCTTCTCCTCAGTGTTACTCCTCCTGCAGCTTTTTGATCTTGCTTCCTTAATCCTGTACTCATTCCTTGTCTTGGTAGGTCATCCACTAACAGAAAGGAACATTGCATTACAAAGGCATGTTCCAGTGATCATGTTCCCTTTTTTCACATCACACTTTCTTTTCCTCTGCAGTTAATCTGTCATTCTTCACCTACTTCAAACCCTCTAATAAGGTGCCAGGGATGCATACCTTGAATCATTGCCCAAAATACAGACATTTAAGAATATATAGTAACAACGCGTTCCATTGAGAATCATAGAAGGGTTTGGGTTGGAAGGGACCTTTAAAGCTTATCTAGTCCCACTCACCTTGCAATGAGCTCTGACACCTTCCACTAGACCAGGTTGCTCCTACCTCCCTGGGTAACCTTTTCCAGTGCCTCACTACCCTCACAGTGAAGAATTTCTTCATAACAGCAAATCTAAATCCCCTTTCTGTCAGTTTAAAGCCATTCCCTCTTATCCTGTCACTACATGCCCTTGTAAAAAGCCCCTCTTCCAGCTTTCTTGTAGGCCCCCTTTAGGTATTGGAAGGCTGCTATAAGGTCTCCCCAGGACCTTCTCTACTTCAGGCTGAACACCACCAGCTCTCTCAGCCTGTCTCTATACGAGAGGTGCTCCAGCCCTCTGGACTCACTCCAACAGGTCCACTTCCTTCTTGTGTTGGGGGCTCGAGTGGAGCTCCTCATAAACCAACAGAAGCAGTTTGATTAGAAGCAGTAAATATATACATACTGAACTGCAAGCCCCATTTAGTATGAAATGCTGTGTTTTATCCTGAGGCTATAGGACTTCCCTGCTAATGGTAGTATGTCACTGATCACTGCATCGCTGTGGGTAAAGCAGTAGCTCATTTATGAATCCTGAGAGGAAAATCCTGGGCAAACCAGAAACCAACAAACTCACGCATCATGAAGGAACCAAGGTAGCCTGACAGGACATGCAAACGTAGATACAATCAGCCACAGTGAGTCAACTGGAAAGTCAGTGACTGCTAGGGGATGCATATGGAAGAATACTTTAATCAAGGACTTGATGTTTCAGAGGTTTCTAAAGTCAGACACAGGATCTTCTCCCTCCTCCAAGACAGGCTGTAGGACACTCAGGGACATTGCTGTCTTGGTGCTGCATTCTGCAGACCAAATCTATTTCACAGTTTGCTGCAGCACCTGTCAGTAGCATTAAAAAAAAAAAAAAAAGGCAAAAAAAAAGCGCATTTCGAAAAATTTAGCTATTAGTTTTAGAAAATTCACCTGAAAAATGTCTGAATCTGTAAGGACTCACCATCTACCTATGCAGATGAACTGCTGACCAAACAAGTCAGACAGTGACAAAATCAATCAGAATTCCTACACAGAATTCACAGAATATGTAGTCTACCTGTTTTTTCAGCTATATCTTTCAATAAAGAGGGAAACATGCCCTGATACACAGCCATGCTACAGATGAGGAAAACAGCCTGTACAGATATTTAATGTAGATTTACGAATAAAATCCTCCTTTTTTTCATACAGAATACTACTGAATTGTAAATTTGAATCAAAAAATACAGTTTTTCTCATCACTGCATCTCATTCTTTACTGATTCAAAGGAGCAGAAAAAACACCAGAGAAAGTGTTGAATCAGAAAAGCTTTACAGAAACTCCTTATGAGTGCATGGCATGAGGAACATCTGCCATACTCCTGCAAGATTGAACCAAATCATGCCAGAGAATTACAAGACCAGTGCTGCTGGTGCTACATCTTGAGGAAAAGAAACGGATCCATATATCTCTGTTCTCTTTTTGCTTTCACTGAACAGAAGGGAAAGACTGAAAGCCAAGAGCACAAAAAGCTGAAGATGTTTCTTTGTTTTTGTAAACCTTGGGCTGATGGGAAAAAGGAAAGGGAGAAACATTCTCCAAAGTACTGACTGTTCCCTGATAGTCACCTGCAGTTTCCCTTCATCCTCAATAAAGGCACAAAAGACTTACTATGGTAGGGAGCACTTGGATAAAAAGACCATTAATTTCAAGAGACATACCACAAATCAAATGGAAAACCACCACACAACAGGCATACTGTTTAGCTCTTTGGGATATATTTTTCATGTTCTGATAAAACTTGTAGCATTCTAGGCAAACCTCGCAGAATAAAGATGCATTTCTCCTAACGTTACTGAACAGAAACATATAAAAGATAACTTGACTGTCTTCAGTGGCCAAGTCCAAACTTCTCCAATCCACACTAATTCACACAAAATCCACTTGTATGTATGTTAATTCTTTCAACCACAGTATAAATGCCCATAGGTCTATAAAAGCGTATTAAAAACGCAACTTCAAATCCATCCAAAAGAAGTTAACCTTTTGAAACAGCTATAGACCACATGGAATTACTCTGAAAATGGCATTTTTTGAGCTATCACTTGAAATTCATAGAATCATAGAATAGTTAGGGTTGGAAAGGACCTTAAGATCACCAAGTTCCAACCCCCTGCCATAGGCAGGGTCACCTCACACTAAACCATGTCACCCAAGGCTCTGTCCAGAGTGGTCTTGAACCCCGCCAGGGATGGAGCATTCACAACTTCCCTGGGCAGCCCATTCCAGTGCCTCATCACCCTTACAGTAAAGAACTTCCTCCTCATATACAGTCTAAACCTCCCTTGTTTAAGTTTGAACCTGTTACCCCTTGTCCTATCACTATAGTCCCTAATGAAGAGTCCCTCCCCAGCATCCCTATAGGCCCCCTTCAGATACTGGAAGGCTGCTATGAGATCCCCACGCAGCCTTCTCCAGGCTGAACAGCCCCAACTTTCTCAGCCTATCTTCATATGGGAGGTGCTCCAGTCCCCTGATCATCCTCGTAGCTCTTCTTTGGACTTGTTCCAACAGTTCCATGTCCTTTTTATGTTGAGGACACCAGAACTGCACACAATACTCCAGGTGAGGTCTCACGAGAGCAGAGTAGAGGGGCAGGATCACCTCCTTCGACCTGCTGGTCACGCTCCTTTTGATGCAGCCCAGGATACGGTTGGCTTTCTGGGCTGCAAGGGCACACTGCCGGCTCATGTTCATTTTCTCGTCGACCAGCACCCCGAGGTCCTTTTCCGCAGGGCTGCTCTGAATCTCTTCTCTGCCCAACCTGTAGCTGTGCCTGGGATTGCTCCGACCCAGGTGTAGGACCTTGCACTTGGCATGGTTAAACTTCATAAGGTTGGAATCAGCCCATCTCACAAGCATGTCAAGGTCCCTGCTGATGGAATTCCTTCCCTCCAGCGTATCATCCGAGCCACACAGCTTGGTGTCATCGGCAAACTTGCTGAGGGCGCACTCAATCCCACTGTCCATGTCAGCGACAAAGATGTTGAACAAGACTGGTCTCAACACTGATCCCTGAGGGACACCACTCGTTACTGGTCTCCAGCTGGACACTGAGCCATTGACCACAACTCTGTGTGCAGCCATCCAGCCAGTTCTTTATCCACCAAGTGGTCCATCCATCAAATTGATGCCTCTCCAATTTAAAGACAAAGATGTCGTGTGGGACAGTGTCGAACGCTTTGCACAAGTCCAGGTAGATGATGTCAACTGTTTTACGTCTGTCCATGTTTCTAATTTTTTTTGTTTTAGGAAGGTAAAACTCATGCCATAAAAAGACATATACCATTTTTGGCAACCTCTATGGCATAGCTGACCCAAGTACTCAGCACATGGTGGTATCTCAAGTTCCAGAGTATGGAAATACTGCCAAATACTCACTTCGCGAAGGCAATCACGACCATCTGTTTACAGATCCACAACACGGCTTTGATATTTTCTTTCTGAAAGTCCCTATAGCTCTGCCTATTAGGCCACCAGAGGGCAATCCCACACACACATACACAAGAAACAAGAATGGAAACTGGTATGGGAATACTTTTAAGGACCTAAGTCAACATTCCAGAGCAAAAATTGATATAAAATACAGGTTCGATCAAAAATACTATCAAAACCTGCTTTATCTTTACTAATACACCACATGTCTCTCTGGTTTTTAGACGGGACTCTTAAACTGGATGCTGCTAAGAAGAGCTTTTATAATATTTCTTTTCTTGGTGTGAACATGACCTAACTAGCTACAAGAAACTGCAAACAGAACTATACAGAAGTTCAGCCAAGGCAGCACTCATAGCTTTGCAAAGAGACTCTGGCAGCATCTTTGCAATTTCTTCAGTGCTATCTACAGTACAGTAAATCTAGAAGTATTTATGAAGCATTTACTTTGGGTCAGTGAAGCTCATGGTTTATATTCTAATCCCTGTTAAATATTACAGCAGTACAGGACATCTTGTGAAAAATGTAAGCGTTAGTCTTCTCATTCTTAGAGGATAAAATTACATTTTTCATGTATAAATGTAATACTCTCTAGTGACACGGTTTAGTGGTGGTCTTGGCAGTCCTGGGGTAATGGCTGGACTTGATGACTTAAAGGTTTTTTCCAACCTCGCTGATTCCGTGATTCTATGATGTAGACAGACATGATATTATGGGTTTTCAGGAAAACATTAATAAAATAGAATAAAGTAGAATTGTTGGCCTTTTAAAGTACTTTAATACATAACAGCTTCAAAGAAAAAGATCATGAAGTCTGCAATTTATTAATTTACATAAGCTTTATGCGTCTATTTGCAATCTACTTTAAGAGAAAGCAAAAAAAAAAGCCTAGTTTTTCAAGCAGTGTTCCTAAATACATAATAATTGAAAATTACTTTATAAATAATATACAAAAAAATGTGTAATTCTATTAAATACTCTAGTTTTGACTCATCAAAAAGATAAAAATCTTTCTAAAACATTTGTAGAGAAGGTTCTACTGAGAGCTTACCTAGTTATACCTTATTGTTAATTCAAATAAGCCTATATTTGATAATCACTTTTTAAATAACAGTCCCTGTTCAGTGGGTTGTATAGGAACAAGGAGTGAATATTCATGCACAGGAACACAGGAAGCCTTACCCTGAGCCTCTGAACTTGACAGCCTTGTTTCTCCGTCATTTTCAGAAAGTGACTGAAGTTTGACTCATCAAGCAGGAGATACACTGCAATCCCTCTAGCAGATGCCTCCACAATTTCTCTAAAAATATCCACATCTGTAAACATGTCCATAACAATGGCAATGACCTGAATAAAACAGAGATGACAGAAATTATTATATTGTATAAACACGTAAGTAAAACTCTTCACTGAAGCTTGCACTGGGAAGCTAAAACGAATTTTTTTTTATGCATCCAAAAAGTTCTAATATTTTCCATGTGGTACCAATTAACTTAGAAAGCGTTTCTAGACCATTGGATATTCTTTTTGAGAAGTCAGGTGATCGTGTGTGTGCCATGTACCAAAGCTTGGCAAAAAGTTATGTTGTAGGTATGTATAGCAATTGATTATATGAAGAAAAGGAAAGCCAGCGGAAGAGAAAGGAAGGGGAAACAGCAATGTAAACACATAGTTAAAAAATAAACCATCAAAATATAACTGCAGTGGTGTTCGGTGTGAAAATGTTTTCAGATAACATTTTTGTTCAAGGGGCTTTTTCATCTTTCATCATCTCTAAAGCTACTGGCTCAAAGGCTTGAAGGAGTCAGCAAGCAGTCATTGAAGAGCTGGAGCTGCTGAGGACATCAGGACCCATACTCATTCAGCACTCTTACTGGGATGAAATTTTCTAAGCTGGTGAGAGCTTGAAGAAGATTAGCACGCTGAACACCAGCTACTAATACCATTAAACCTATGGGGATAAGGCATGTATTTCTGACTGGGAAAAACAATGTCTTGATAATGGTATCTTGGAGATGATATACTGTTGATGTTTTGGGCAAGCTATTTGGGAAGAATTAGTTGGAAGCATTAGAGGAGATAACAGAGGGAGAACAGGCATCTGTGTAACTTAAAAATAATATTCTTATCCACTACAGTGTCCATGAAAAGTTTCAGTGAGATGTCTCAGTTGCAAATTCAAATCAGAGGCTCATAGAATAGTTAGGGTTGGAAAGGCCTTAAGATCATCCAGTTCCAACCCCCCTGCCATGGGCAAGGACACCACACACTAAATCATGTCACCAAAGACTCTGTTCAACGTGGCCTTGAACACTTCCAGGGATGAAGCATTTGCAACATCCCTGGGCAGCTCATTCCAGTGCCTCACCACCCTCACAGTGAAGAACTTCCTCCTTATATCTAATCTAAACTTCCCCTGTTTAAGTTTTAACCCATTACCCCTTGTCCTATCACTACAGTTCCTAATGAAGAGTCCCTCCCCAGCATCCTTATAGGCCCCCTTCAGGTACTGGAAAGCTTCTATGACATCTCCATGCAGCTTCTCTTCTCCAGGCTCAACAGCCCAAATAAAGTCTTTCACAGATGTCAGAGCATGCTTGATAGTGAGCTTTACCATTGCCACTAATCTTTAAACTATCTGTACCTTAACCATAATGGAGAAATTGTTAAGTTACAGTCACTCATCTTATTTCAGAATTGAAATACTTACCTCACTCATAAAATTTATTAAATGCTGTTACAAGCGCCCAAGTAAAAGTTATGTCTCCTGTCAGCTGTCGGAACAGTTCAGTTGTTTTTGAATCCTACCTGCTTAGAACTAAAAAAACTCACTTGTGCCAAGCATGTACTTAAAACACTAGAAATATTAATGAAAGCTGACATACATGAAATAAAAGTAAAATAACTATGTCATTAGGAAAGGTAAAAAGCTCCTGAAGTAGCAGAAATGAAAGAATTAAGCCATATTGTAAGAAGTCACCTGGCAATAAAAAGGCTCTTTACAAATCCACAAGTCAGAGAATAACAGAATAGCATGAAATAATTGAATTCTTTCAAATATCTTAGGTAATATGCTCATGCAGCATGTCACTCATTTCACTGACTTTTTGAAAATGAAACCTAAATGTGATTTTTAACAGGACAAATTATATTTCTTTATCTAAATTAGAAAGGGAAGACTGAAACCCTGTTGTGGTTTAAGCCCAACCAGTAACTCAGAACCACGCAGCCGCTCACTCACTCCTCCCCTCTTCTTCCTCCCCCCGCTCCTGGAGAGATGGGGAGGAGAACCAAAAGAATGTAACTCCCACAGGTTGAGATAGGAACAGTCCAGTAACTAAGGTATAACACAAATCACTGCTGCTACCACCAGTAATAATAATGATAGGGGAAATAACAAGGGAAGAGAATACAACTGCTCACCACCCACCAACCAATTACCCAGCTTGACCTGAGCAGTGATCTAGCCCTTCCGGGTAACTGCCTCTAGTTCTACATTCCGGGTATGATATGCTGTGGTATGGAATACCTCTTTGGCTAGTTTGGGTCAGGTGTCCTGTCTCTGCTTCCTTCCCGCTTCCCCTCCTTGCTGGCAGAGCATGAGACTCAAAAGTCCTTGGTCAGAGTAAACATTACTAAGCAGCGACTAAAAACATTGGTGTTATCAGCACTGTTCCCAGGCTGAAAGTCAAAAACACAGCACTGCACCAGCTACTACGAAGGAGAAAAATGACTGCTACTGCTGAACCAGGAGAAACCCACAAAAGTTTCATCTTGACTCTAAGGACACCATCACGTTCAGACTGCACCTTCTGCTTGGCCTTGTATCTGAAACACACAACATTAACTGAACATAGCAATCCTATTTATTCATCTGTCTTGTTTCATTTATGTCTTAGCAGAAATCTGCCAAGACATATCAAGTGTTTTAGGTAAAAGGACCAAAGAAGCAAGTTTGTTCTCAAATACTTCTGTTTCATTACCAGTGTCCTCCTCCCTCTAAATTTCCTAATTTCTTTTTAACCTTTCCTTTAGTTCATATCTCTTAGAAATATGTGTTCATTACAGTCCAGGGTCTATTTAAATGCAAGAGAAAAATCTTGAATGGATTAATTAGCATATGCTGGCATGAATACATGAAATACTCAGAATCAACAGTACAGCCTTCAAAAATCATTCTAGCATTTTCCTAGGGCAGATATCTAAAATGCTAACTTGGTTGCAGCATCTGTGGTTAAAAAAGACTAGATTACTGGAAATCCAAAGAAAAGAAAAAAAAAAAGAATTAGTAACAAAAGCTAAAAACCAACCACAGTGGCCATATCTATCTTTATGAAGAGGGAAGGAGAGAAATAAATAAGAAAGCAGGCCAGTAAATTGGTGGCAAAAGAAGGATGCATGAGCACTACTATGTAGATATCTTGCAACTTGCAAATGAACAGGAAGACTCTCTTTGTCTTCACTAGCAGAATTCTTCTTAAATCATTTACCTCGTTAATTTTGGAGTTAATTCTGCAAAGCATCAAAGCAGCCTTGCAAGAAATAGTAGGTTTCACTTCCAGAGTTGGAATAGGGATTACGTTTTGAAACCTAAGGCATCCACTAGCTGAAAAATCCTCACCAGATTTAAGAACATGTATGGAAAGCCACAGTTGTATCTGACAACCAACTGGACATCTGTTTTTTCATTCCCTGGAAACCAAAGATGACTCTCGTACTTCCTCATTAGCTTGCCCATTCACTCTTAGCAACAATCTATTAATCTAGTCAACACAAATGTAATTAGACTCAATTGCTGGAGGAAGAAGAGTGCCAAATTTGAACCATTCATATGATATACATTCATTAGTAAAAAGTCATTTACAGTGATAAGATCACTTGTGTATACTAATTTCTACAAATTAAGAGTAGTTGTTTGACCACACACTATAGATTTTGATGCAGACAGTGGATTCCATTAATGTCACAGAATATTCTGGCTTTTAAATTAAACTTCCTTCCATATTTTTCTTTTTTCTTGGGGGGGAAGTGGTAGGGTTATGCAGAAAGGGTACATTTCCCCGTGCATTTGCCTACTTTGCAGAAGGGAGTATTGAGCTTGGGGAAGGAAAAAGCCCTATATATGGTATTCAGGGTCCCAAGTTTTGATTATTTAAGGAAAACAAGACTAGGAAGTCACCTCAAAAGAGGTATTCTATAGTGTGTATGTACCTTTCATTAAAGCTGTAGCAAAAGCTGCGGGATTAGTTACTTGCTGCATCACTTTGGAAGAAAAGATTTCACTATTATGTTTTTTACATTTGTTTTTGCAATTGCAAATTGCAATTTGCAATTGCAGACCTGATTTCTACCCTGACACTTACAAGAAGCCACATAACAGTGAAAATCCAGGAGGAAAAAAAGATTATAGAATTCAAATTGCAAAAAATAGGTCAGAAAAATACAGTTTGCAATAGAAAAGTGTCACACTTAACATTTTAAGTACAGGTAGAAAAGTATAATTGTGTTGAATAGGGCTACTTTTATGCAAATATTTTAAAACACTTATTTTTTCCAGTAAGCGGAGTTATTTAATTTGCACAGTATTAAGTGACCTAACATTTTAAAAAAATCATTATCTCTAAACTATATATCATATACATCATTATAATTTGAAGTTCTTTTCATTCTTTAAAAGTTTTTAATAATCTCCAAATTCAGGATATGACTCACTCCTACCTAAAATACTAGTGACAAGATTCATGAAAGACAGACACACATATCTTGAAAGTTAAAATAAACAGCTATAGCTGAGATATCCTGCAAAAACATGCAGATTCTTGCAAAACAGGAGCTTAAGTACATGGTAACATGACACCAGACTGGATAATATGAGACTCTAAATGGAGGCTGATGCTCAGTTCTGTTCAGCTATCATATTACAGGGCCAGTCATTGCTCACGAGTTTGGGCCCATCCACAGGCATTAGATAGGTTTAAATGTTCCTCACCTTTAGAAATTAACTCTATTCAAAGGCTTATATAGAAGAAAGTTGCCAATCCCAACTGTACAAATGCATCTATCACTAAACATCTCCTGAGCATATCCAGAGGAGTGTGACCAAGATGCTCAGAGCTGGAGCACTTGCCCTGTGAAGAGTATGTGAAGGAGCTGAGTTGGTTCACTCCAGAGCAGAGATAGGTTCAGGGAATCTTACAGCAGTCCCCAGTGCTTTACAGGGAAGGTCTTGAGGAGATGAAGCCACTTTCCTCATAGTGGTGGCAGGACAAGAGATAATGGTCAAACTGAAACAACAGCAGTTCTGACTGGATATAGGGAAAAACCCCTTATTCTCTCAAGAACAGCCC